ATTTATAGTACTACTTGTGGATACAACTGAAGAAATTTGGTAATTTATACTATAACCAAATCTAAACTATAATTAAAAAGGCCCAAAATTAACATTTTCAACATAAAGGTAAAAATGTTAAACTCTCTAATCTAAGTAAAGCAAGAGGGCTAACAGAAAACAGTCCCCTGAAATCAGGTACAATGATCACAGCATACCAGGTATACTACTGAACACATGATATTCCTTTCTACTTTGCACACTGAGATCTTAGGAATCTGATAAAAAAATCAGTTAACCCTGGGCAAAACCACTACTAGGAAACTCACATTGTTTGGGCAGAGCTTCAGCCAGTCTCCTTAAACTAGTCAGACTGTCTGCACCAAGCTGGTTTAAGATGCTGGGTAGCATTTCTGTCAGCTGCTTTGTCTCAGCATGGCCTGTAATGGTGAAAGTGTTCGCTGCCAGAGATGCCTGAACTTTAGGATTGTTGAAGTGGATCACTGTTCCTTGGTTTGTGAACATATTGACCTATAAAGAAAAAAATTGTTTTAATCAGCAGTGCCCACTAAAATCCCTTTAAAACCAAACATTTTATTAAGCAAAAGCTGAAATCTAGCTAACTAGTCTAGCATTTCACTGTGAAGCACAGGTAAAATTTTGCCTGGAATGGAAAGTGCTACCTATCATTTTCAGGCTTAGTACTATCTTCCTGATATTAAAAGAGTAGAAACCTATTTTAGAAGGATATGAAATTCTCTGTTGGAAGCAGAGTAAAAAAAAAAAATCATTTACTGCATGAACATTAGAACTTTTTTCAGCCAAATTTTATTTTATAAAGAAATAAAATTTGACATTTACCTCTTCAATGCCAGAGATATTGTTTACCCCTAACTTCTTTAAAGAGAACTGAAGTTTTTTATCATCTGCCGTAGCTGTTCTGTGAACCACCTTCTTCTTTCGGCGAGCAGTTCCCTAAATGGGAGAGAAAAGGAAAGAAAACAGCACATCTTTATATTATAATAACAGACATTTTCAAATGGAAACAGTTTCTAATACCTTTCTGAACTTTTGGATCTATTTAAGAAAATTACATAACCACAAACTTTTATGCAGGTTAGGGCAATGACCGAAGCCAGAAGAGGGAACAGAAGGAATTGCCTACTAATTCTTATTAATTTCTAAGTTTCTAGTTTTGTCAGATATATAAAGGAATGATCTTTCCAAGTACTACTTTTTACATTACCTGCTTTAGAAGTGATCAAAGAGGTGGCATGTGTCAACCTAAATCAAACCTCATTTAGACATTCTATGTCTAGAGATTAACCTTCTGTTCTTCAAGAAAAATCAGCACCCATTAATATTCACAGGCCAAGACAGTATATGACACAAATGAGTGGGTATATAGACTTCTATAGCACCTGAGTAAAACCTGAAAGTTATCACCTTGACCTGCGGGGCCCCTACATGATCTGCCTGGGCTACTATGCCTTTCTCAACATTTTCTAATCACACACATATACTCACCTCAGTCAAATAAACTTCCTTGCTACTGAATTAGGCCAAATCAGGAGCCTCTGCACTTACCGTTCTTCTCTTCCCATAGCACTTGCATGGCTCCCTCCCTCACTACAAACATTTCTGATCTTGTGTCACCCTAGAGAGTGGCCTTTCCTACCCAGTGTAAAATAACAACTCCCACACTCATCATTTTCTATCTCTTCAGGTTTACTTTTCTTTGTAACACTCACTACTATGAATATATTTTGTTGTCTGTCTACCCTCGCTAGAATGGAAGCTCCTGGAGGGTTTCTATTCTGTTTACTGCTATAAACAGCATCAAGAAGTCTCTCCTCCTCACTGAAGGCAATCAATAACTTGACTGAATACAGGCTTCAGAACATATGTGACCTTGTGTACATATATGCCAAGTTTCCAATCTCTCCTTCTCAAATATATCCTATAAACTCTTAAAGCTAGGCAACTGTCATGCCTATTTAGTAGAACACTCTTTCAGACTCTCTCATACAGACTAAGCTCTTTATGTAACTCACCTACCTCACTGTCCCTCAACCTCCATACTGATTCAGAGTCATCCTTTAAAAATCCTGTTCAGGTCATTGTTTTGTGACTTCCCTGAACTCTGTAATTACCTTTCCCCCATCCCAGCCAAATCATTTCCATCTCTATATTTAGAAAATGCTTCTACTGCAGTATGTACTGAGATGATTTTTTTTTTAAGAAGATGCCTATCTCCCTTACTAGTGTTAAGGGCCCCCTAGAGACTTTAAACTTAAATTTTATATTCTCAGGATCCAGCATAATAAGGGTTTAAATAAATCATAGGTTAACTGAAGAAGTATCAATAACTACAAAAAATACTGAATACGAAACCCCCAATAAACCTTTAAGAATAAAAATCACTTTGAACTGGTCATTATAGATACCCGATTTCCAAAGAATCTTTTCTAAAAAACTCTCTAAAGAACTATTATAAGAATATAGAAACAAAACCAGCACACCTTCTGTAGGTTCTGCACACTTCACATTATGTGGGGTTCAAGTTAATACTAATGCTCTGATCAGACTGAAATAAAGGGCTTTCATAACATTTACCTAAAAGTACCTAACATGGATTTCTCTAAGGCAAAATAAACTCACCTCATTTCACATTTCATACTAAGTAGGTTTCTTAAAAGGTGAAGAAAATGTTTCAAAATTACAGTAACAAAAAAGTTTCTATTAATAACTAAGCAATTAAAAAATCCTAGATAATTTCCACTTTCTCTTAAACCTAGGATGATGTCTCTCACAAGTTAAAAACTAATGATCAGAGTAACAACAAAAAGATGGCACATAAGCACATTATTCAAATCATTCCTTCTGAAACCTGCAAAAAAAGGAATGATGATTTAAATACAGCTACAGAAGAGCATCGAAACACTGACCCTCAAAGAATATGAGTTCTAGGACGAGAAGGCCACATCTAGCTTATCACAATTGCTAAAAAGGATAAGAAACACCTACTGTTATTCATGGATAATTATAGATCTTGAAGACTACTAGCTTCAGGAGGAAAAAAGGATCAGGATACATTCACTGCTGGCAAAGTCCAGTAATTTAACAGAAGTATATCTTATTTAAGTCTAAGTGCAACCTTTGGCTATTTCGCAGTAAAGTCTCTTCAAGGTAAATGCTTAAAGTTAGGAAAAATTAACAGGTAATAAACTTGTACTACCGAAGCTTTACAAGTTTTACCAAGTAAAGGCATGCTGTGTTCCACAGACTACCACACCTTGTTAAATACTAGGAATGTGCTAACACAATGCAAAATACAACTAGGTAAACCTTTGTCTAGAGTGGCCTTCTGATTTAAGTATAGTACGCGGAGAACAATCTATAAACTTACCAAGTACAAAAAAGAATCCCCTTGAAGGGATCAGTATCCACCAGGAAAAAACAATTAACCGAAAACCTGTCATTTAGAAACCTACCAATCAATCACTCTCATTCCCTCAGTTTAAGCATAAATACAATGTCAAAACAGAAAGATACCTGCTTAGGTAGTATTTTCAAATTCATAGTTACTGCTCTTAAATTTCAAAATGTACCTCTAAAGAAACAATCTTCAAATATCCTAGAAAATAAACAACTTACAAGAGTTACAAATGTATAGCTATTAAGTATAACAGTTATTTAGAACCTTAAAATGTAACCTATAGTTCTAAAGATAGGTGAAACTTAAATTCATAGTTAGCTTAGTTATTTAAAACGAACAACAACAGCAACAAAAAAACAAGCCCTGACTGTATACAATTTAAACCAAAGCAAAGAAAGCACATGGGGTATGATGGCCACAATGATGGTCTAACTAAAAAGATACAATTTCCTACTAATTAAATTAGGCAACATTTTGTTCTACACGGTTACACTGAAAAGATATTTACATAAAAGCAATGTTTGTCGTTTTAGTACTTTTTATCTAGATTCACTTTTTTCTTTAATATACAAGTCTCACTGAAACGCTCTATTGTGTATCTAATTTAACTCTCGCCTTTCCCTCCCCCAAATTTCCTAGCTCTATGAAATGCCCTCTACCGACTAAGTGACAAGCCAAAGATACTACAAAAAAAAACACAAAACTTCAAAAAAAACTCTAAAACTTACTTTCCCACCAATGCGCACTTGTGCCTGCAGTTTGGCGAGTTTCTCCTGGTTCATGATAGTTTCTTTCATCTAAAAAAACAAGAAACCCTCAGCGAGGAAAAGTCTAGTTCACCCAAGCATTCCACGCTAGTTACTTCCCAAGACGGCAAGAGGAGTAAGTATCCTACACAGGCCGAGGCCTGGATCCCAAATCCACCCCGCAAGGCTCCCCGTTTGTCTCAAAGGAGCCCAAAAAGCACCCGCCCTCCACAACTCCCCCCACCCCAGCCCCGGAAAAGGGCTCTCGCCCACGCCTGGCCAGCACCCCCACCCCGGCCCTGGCCCGGCCTCGGCCTAGCCAGGGCCTGCCCGGCCCGGCCCAGCCACTCTCCGCAAGCCTCGCGGTACCTGAGGCTCCTGTCCTCGGGTTCCGCAGCGAGGTGGAGGAAGAGACGGCGTCGCCTCGCCCCCAGGGCAGCCGCCCCTGGCTCGACCTCGCCCCCGAGAATCGGCCAGAGTGGGTGCGCCTGTCCGTCGCATCGCCTTCCTCCTCAGCCCTGTCCCTCCCTGTCTCGCTCCTTCCGGGCACTTCCCGCCCCCGTTCCCGTCCTCCTCCCTCGCCGGCGTCCAGAGCCTTTTTGTACCTTGTTGGAGCGGAAATGGGACCGCGCGGGGGACTAGGGTTCGCGCTCAGTGGGTCTCGGGCAGACCAGCTGAGATTAGGAGCACACACGCGGGGACGCAAGATGGCAGCTAGAGAGGTGCCGGAAGTGATGCAACGCCACTTCTTCCAAAAGTCAGGAAACGGACTTCTCCGCGGGCTCAGCACCTCCCTGCGCAGGCGCGGCCTGAGGCCAGGGCATTTGTGACTGTTCCTCGGCCCGACTTTCCTCCAGCAGCGCAGGCCGGATGGGGGTTGCTAGAGACGCTCGGGGCCGGAGGCACCGGGAGTATCCTTGAGAGGACATAGAGAGGAGAGCACGGTTCTTTACCCGCTTAGGGTTGAGTAAGTCGGCCCTTTATCCATCCGGCCCCGCTTCCTCCCAGATCTGTACTCTCTGAAGAAAGGGCCACTTGACGCTTGCGGAACCGCTTGGAAGCCTAGCGTGTGCTCACTTCTGTAGTTGCTCTCCGCTCGCTGGATAGTGTACATTGGAGTGATGACTGGAATGTTTTAGTATGTCCCTTTCGGCATGAATGAGCCCTTATCAAGACATTTTGCCAGAACTTTGTCAGAAACAATGAAGCTAACTTTGCGTTCCAAAGGTTAGGCGGTTTGGTAGGTAGGTTGCAGGACCATGGATCAGAATTCCTAGCAAGCGTGTTCGGTATGTATCCCCGAGCCGCACTCCTCAGAAGCCAAATCAGTCGGACTGGGGATGGGACCGGGTGGTCTGCATATCAGCAAGTGTAGACCCGTGTGCGTGATTACTTACCTTCCTTCTCGTTTCTCTGACAAAAAGTTGACCCTTTGATACCAGTTGGCATGGGTTTATCAGCGTTTATCACCGTTGAACAAACTACGTTGCTGAACTGAGTAATTCAAAGGAGAATTTGTGCCCGGTTTATTTAGAGAGGCTAAACTGATGTGAGTTAAAATTTTCTGAACGCTATAACAAGCTTGAAGACGATCTTAACATGTAACGACCGATACCGTTATTAAGAATGGCTATTTAAATAAAAATGCTGTCCTGTCAGCCCTTTTGTGGTATTTGCTGTGAAAAGCTTTTCCGTATTCAAAAGTGAGTCCGAAATCTTAGCTAAAACAATATGACATATAGCAAGAAAACTAGTGTAGGTGCAGATTTCTCCAATTAAGATTCATCTTTTTGTTTTTGAATATGTCTCACATGTAAATTTGCTGAAACTGAAGTCTCTAAGAAGTAACTGGTGCGGACAGCTGTATTGCTTTTGAGAGTAATTGTAACAGTTGATATTCTCTCAAAAAACAATGTTGCTTTTATTACTAAAATGAGTGACTTTTAGTACAGAAAAACATGTTTGGACTGTGAAGGTATGTAGGTCACTGTCCTAAAGATAAAGGTCAAAATGACTGTGGTAACACTATTCAGTGCTATAGAAACATTACAAAATATACAGAAATACTCCCATCTTTTTTCAGGAACAATTTTCCCCCCTTCCTCCATGTTATATAGAGGGGAATTTGAAATTTCTCAGTCATGTGATGTTTTCTGAGCATTTACATAAACAAGATTCTGTGTACCTACCTGCCACTTGATTAACTTTTTACACATCTATTTTCAGGAAATGTTCAGGTTACTTCTTAAGTTCTTTTGGTTCCCACTTTTCTCTAATTCTTTTTAATTTTTAAAGACTTGCAGCATGTCGAAAATCGTGAAACTTTCCCTAATGGTAAGAAAATTTTTATGTTTGCCTCTAAATTGCTTCTGCTTTTTTTGTGAGTGGTTAGGAAATACCAATTTTGCTAATATTTATATATCATTCTCTTAAAAAATAACTAAAGGATTTTGTTTTTGCTCTACATGAAAGTTACTAAGTTGCTATCTTAGCTCAGAAAGACAAAAGAGGAACTAACTTACATGCTATCTTTCCTATGTGGCCTCCCAGTGTGTATGGCAAATACAGATAACTGGCTCCCACACTTAATTATTGAACTTGAACAAGCCTAAGAATCATTTACTCAGTACTCAACACAGCCTCTGTCAATAGAGTAGGCAAGATATAGTTTATGGTCTAATCAGAGTCCATGAATTGTTTTCATGTTACATTTGGACTTGAGTCTGCTTTAGCAAAAGCTAAAATATTTACTTGTATTATGTTTATTTCTTAAGATTCCCATTCTGACCTATGATGAGGATAAATGTTCCCATGCTTTTAGTTGCTTCATTATCTGGCCCTTGACTGATAGACACAGTGGACTTTTTTTTTTTTTTTTAAGTTTCTAAACCTCTTTGAACTTGTCTTCTAGCACCCACACCTTTGTCAAGTTAATATCTACACCTCATTTAGCTTTAAGTGTAAATGTCTCAGGAAAGCCTTTTCTGACATTAAGACTTTCAGTCTCATTAAGTTAACATCCATCATAGTTATTATTAGTTGTGGTATTTTATTAAATGCAAAATGAGAGATTGATAATTTTGTTGAGTTGATGGAGAACTGAACTAGAATTCTTAACAATTTTCCACTAGGTTAATGTTGAATTTTGACCCTTTGATTATAATGTATCCTTACAGAAGTCATCTGAGGTAGTATTTTTGTATTACTGATAAGAAAACTGAGGCTTAAAGTGTAAAAATATGAAAATAAACACAATCTCTTCCTCCCTTCACCAAATCTGTACAACTACATATATCTGAACCTATCAATATTACCTTTCCCCTGCTATACAAGGAAGAAATGTTCCCTCTACTTGTACTTTTGTTTATTTCATTCAGGACTTTGATTCTTCCATTGTTTCCCTCCTATATGTCTGCTTTCCCTCTTTCAAATGAATAATGCACTCAGTAGACTAATATGCCTTACTATATCAGGTATTGTAAAAGAGAACAAAACAAAAAAAGGTTCTTTTGACCTCTGTTCCCCTCCAGCTTCTACTTAATTTTTGTGCTCCCTTTGTAAGTAGAATTTCTCCAAAAGGTTTTCTAAACGTCCATCTCAACATATCCAAAAGGTTAAGTTCTCAATTCTCATTTTAGCCAACTAGGTTCCATTTGATACACTTGGCCGCTTCCACACTTTTGAAACTCTTTTTTCTCTAGGCTTTGAACATCTCACCTCTTAGTTTCTTCTTGCCTTACTGGCATCCCCTCAGTCTACTTTGCTTTATCTTCTTTCCGTGACTTCGACTACTAAAGTTGCTCATATTATAGTCATGTGTTCTTTTCTGTCTATAGTCTCACTAAGTGGTTTCATCCAAGCCCATGGCTTTAAATGTTACCTTTATTTTGATGAGTCCCAAATTTATCATTCCAACCCTAACTTTTTGAACACCAGACTGAATATCCTTTTTACATTATTATGGAAAACTTCAGGCATGTAAAAGTAAAAATGTAATGAACCTTCATAGACCCATCACCCAGCATCAACAATTATTAAATTAATACACAGACTCAATATTCTTAATATAGGGTGATAACCTGGTTTTCATTTTTGAAGTTGACATATTTGCAGACCTTTATTCCATATACATCTTAGGTTTTGTTCAATTATTTCAAGTTTTGATTGGGATGGATTGTGTAAATTAATTTGGGAAGCTTTTATATATTTCCTAATTATTATATGAGTCTGCATTTAATTGCAGGAAATAGATCTGGCTATTTTACACATTTAGAGATTTTAAGATAGGGAACTTGTGCTTCTAAAATTATTTAAAAGGCTGGAGGAGTGGGTTTTTGCCTGGGCTGTCAGAAATGAGTTCCAGGATAATGCAGTACTGCACAAACGGGCTGTCAAGGGGAGCTGCTACCACTGCCCCCACCCATCAGAATGATGGAGAATCAAGACCCCACAACCAGAGTAACTGACATTAAAAATACACTAGTGTAGCTATAGTTCCAGAATCAAGAAGGCACTGTAGCAGCAAGTACTCGAGCCCACCAAGTGGAAGTGCCCCAGAAACCAGCTGTAGGAAACACTAATTGTCACCAACATACTGCTCTGCCAGAAAAGCAGCAGGAAGAAGGCTTTTGCCTTACTCATACCTTTCAAATCTTACTTAAATGTACCTAACTGGCAGAAATCATTTATCTCTAGAACCTTAACTGCAAGGATGTCTGGGAAATTTAGTTGTTTTTTTTTTTTGTTTTTTTTTGAGAGGGCATCTCTGGAAATTTAGTTTTTAAGCAAGCTCAAAAGAAGTTTGAATGGATGCTGAATATCAGTCTACCTTATCCAACCGAATTTTCACATTCATGAACATAATGTATCTATTTTTTCTAATCTTTAGTGTATTTTAATAGAGAAATTTTTCTGATGATCTTAAGCATTGTTGGTTAGCTAGATTCTTACATATATTGTCATCTATTTTTTTATCTCCTAGATATTGCAAGTATCTTCTGGTCCATTGGATTTGTCTGTAGTACTCTTGTTGAACAAAAGTAAAAAATTTTTAATACCATGGTGATCAAGCCATCAATTTACAGAAAATATAAAGGACAAAAAATATGTTATTTCATAAATGCAATCAACAAAATTCACATTATATGAAATGACAGGAAAATGAATCTGGTACATCAACAAGTAAATTCCAAGGGAAAAAGAAGAAAAAAGAGAAGAAAAGGAATTCTGTAGATAAAAAGAGAGCTGAGAGATACAAAAAAGAAAGAATAAGAAAACAGGCAAAACTATAGTGTTTAGGGATGCATGTGTCAGTGGTAAAACTGAAAAAGAAATAATTTTCATAAACATCAGGATAGAAGTTATTCTTGGGAGAAGAAAAGAGCACATGGAAAGTTGCTAGGATGGTGAGCAAGGGTCTATGCTCTGACCTGTGTAGTGGTTTGCAGTTTTCTATATTTGGTATACTTAACAATAAAAGTTCTAAAACACACTAAACAACATATATAGTACAAATATATATGCATGTTTCAGGTTATGTATTTCAACAGAGTGATGTGGTATAATGGAAAATATATATTTGGTTTTGTCCCAAGTTTCTGTGCTGGAGCTCCCAAAACTCAGGGAGTGATAAAGGAGAGTATATTTTGTATGCTAATAAGATGACTGGTGTACTGGGGTCCCCTAGATAGCGTCAGGATGGGGCAGTTTGCCATAAAGACCAAGGCCTGATTAGAGGGTTGAGGGCTAGAACTTTCAGTCCATCCCCCCCACCCGCCAACGCCAAACCTCCAGGGAGGGGAGAGGGCCTAGAGGTTGCATTCAGTTGCCAATCATGTCTGTGTAATGAAACCTCCATAAAAACCTTAAACAACAGAGTTCAGAGAGCTTCCAGGTTGGTGAATACATTAAGGTGCTGGGAGGGTAACACAGCCAAGAAAGGGCCTAGGGACTCCAAAAAGCACACATTCACCCCTACTACTGGCCTTACAAGTCCCATACATTTGGAAGTTCTTAATTAGTATCCTTTATAATAAACTGGCAAACATATATAAATTATCCTTCCAAGTTTTGTGAGCCACTGTAACAAATTACTGAACCTAAAGAGAAGGTTATGAGAACCCTCTATTTATTTTCTGGCCAGTTGGTCGGAAGTCAGGGTATTCTAGGATTTGGGATTGGCATCTGAAGTCCCTAGAGACTCTGCCCCTTTAACTTGTGGTACCTATGCTAACTCCAGGTAGGTAGTGTCTTCATTGTATTGAAATATTAGACACCCAGTTATTGTCCAGAGAAATAGAGAATTGGTTGGTGTGGAAAAGAAACATTCATGTTGATACTTTGTTAGGAGGATACTGGGGGTGAAGATCAGAAAGAAAGAAGAAAACTCAGTGACAGGGCCTTGCCTAGACTGAAGTTGACAATGTGCTAATAACGGCTAATGTTCATATAGCCTTTACATTAGGCATTGTTCTTACTGCTTTACATATATTAACTCATTGGATCCTATAAAATAGGTACTATTACTCCCATTTTACAATTGGGAAATTGAGACACAGAGAGGTTAAGTAATTTGCTTAAAGCCACAGTGCTAGTAAATGGCAAAGCTCAAATATGAACCCAGGCATTCTGTTCCACAATCTGAAATAATTACATGCCCATAAGCATTATACTGTGTTACTGACTACCAAGAAATATGATTATCTCAACTCTGTACCTGATGCTCAGTAAAAATATGTTCAACTGCTTGCTCATTATCACTATCTAGATAGTGTGCTCACCTCTTGGGGGGTACCATGCACCCCCAAATGTACCCTGTCTAAGCTAGAACAACTATTTCCCATCTGCTGTTAAATCAGTACTGAGTCAAATCTCTCCTTTCTTCCTATAACCTCCCATATCAAATCTATCAGCAAATGTTTTGGTCCTACCTCCAAAATATATACCAGCTTTGACCACTGACCATATTTGATATTTGCTGTTGCCATTCTAACCCAAACCACCACAGTCACTCACCTGGGCAATTACAACAGCCTTTTAACTTACACTGCCCCCACCCCCGCCCTGGTCCTGTCCCACTTGGCTCTGTAGTTCTCTATGCAGCAGTTGTTTTTAAAAAAAGCAAATGATAATACTCCTTTGTTTATGGCATTCCAATGGCTGCTCATTGGATTTAGAATAAAATCTGAACTCAGTATAACCTATAAAACCACACAGTCTGACCCTAGCTTCTCAGATTTAATCTCCTATCACTCTTTCCCTAGTCCTTCACATTTTACAGAACACACGAGTAATGACAACAAAGTTTCCTTTACCTTCATTTTTATTTTGAAAATAGAAGAACAGGGTAAAAAATATCAGAAATAATGAATTTATCTCAGTCTGGTGACAGCGCTTATGTAGAGCAATATTGAACTAACCATTCCCCAGTCTCAATTGTCATCAACTTCCTCAGCCCTAAATGGATCAAAGCATTGACCATCAAAAGTCACTGAAGGATTCACAGGAGCAAAGACGTCAAGGAGCAAAACAGGAAAGACTGTCATAGTAGAAGGAAGGAAGAAAAAGGTGGGAGAGAGAGGGCACGCTACCAACTACTTCTCAGTGGGGAAGAATTTGGATTTATTTAGTAAATATGCATTCTATCTTTGTTCAATGGATTGCTTTTGGACTCAGATAAAACTGGCTTTCACCAGTGGAATATTAGCAGAGGTGAGACAAACAGAGACCTTAAATGTATTTGTATGGGTTTTTTTTTTTACTTTTCTTGGTGGTCACCATGGAAGAATAGCCACAGCCCCTTAAGTCTGGGCCCACAGTGAACACCTGTAGAGCAGTCCTGAACCTATCTGTAGTCAGAAACAAGGCTACCTGGCCAAACCCTTACAGCTGGCCTACAGACCCATAAGCATGAACTAAATTCTTGTTGTAAGCTACTGAGTTTGAGGTGTTTGTTACACAGTATTATTGTGGCAGTAGTTGACAAATACAATGGAAACAATTAGTGCTTTAGGCTTTTGGGATATTGTGGTTTGCAAAGTACATTTACTCTCTGTCCTGAATCTGGCACAGAGCTCCCCAAACCCTAGGAATTTCCTACGTGATAAGAGTAGTAAGGTGTCTTGATATTCATAACAAGCCCCTTTCAACCACACCTGCATTTATGTTCATGAGATGATTTTTTGGCAAGCTCCTAAGAATGGGGGCTGGTGCCAGGGGAACCAACCATGAATAGAGGGTTGTAACTTAGTCCCCTCCCCGCACACACCTCTGAGGTGAGGGGAGGAGCTAGAAAGTAAGTTCAGTCACCAATGGCCAATGGTTTAATCAATCGTGCCTGGGTAATGAAGCCTCCATAAAAGTCCGAAAGGACAGAGCTTAGAGAGCTTCCAGGTTGGTGAACATGAATGAAGAGGAATCTATAAGAGCCTTCAGCCCCACTTTGCTGACAGCTGTAGCTTAGGTATAAACAAAATAGCCAGGTGAGTAATATAAAGCATGACAGCTCTACAGATTATTAGTTACAAAGGTAATATCCCATTGTCTTGCCAATGGGTTTCAGCCCCAGGTAAGTTCGCTATGGATTCAGTGTGACCAAAGAAATTGACAGCAAAACGTTCTTTAGGTAAAAGGGTTATACCCAAGTTTATTTCCAGGTGGCAGGTCAGTCACTAGAATCCCATTCACTCAGAGCCAGTCTGCAGGCAGCAAGCCAGTCTCTGCCTCTGGGCCCCTCTGTTCGCACAGCCATCCTCTGGGCCTCTCTGCACAGTGGTCCCACGCAGCCGTCCCCTGGGCCTCTGTCTTTGGTGCTGCCACCACTCCAGTCTGTGCTCTGCTCTTCTGCAGCCCTGCAGCTCTGCCCCCATGTCGCGTGCAGAGCACTGGGCAGATTTCTTTTTATAGAGCCAACAGCCATGTATTGCCCACAGGTGTGCAGTGAGCCAGTCAACCAGGGCCAGGTGAGAATCCTGGCCACAGGAACTCTCATTTTATCCACACCCATGCTAGAATTTTATTAGAAATTTGGAATATAATAAAATCACAGCTGCTTTTTGATAATAGGTACCAAAAATATGTACCATTAAAAAGCAAAACAAAAATCTTTCCATGTAATTTGGGTGAAATACTTCATATACTCCCCCAAAATCTGGATACACAACTGTTGACAAATCACTGTTCCCCACAAAGATCGGGCCAGGCATGACAGCCAGCTGCTCTAAAACTGACTACTTGGTTATAGAACCAGATGCCAAACATCTGTCTTCTATCAACTAGGATCAAAATGAAGCCCTACCCACTAGCTGATTTAACATATAAGGTATAATGTAAGCAAAGATTGCCTGCTTAGCAAAATCACAAAATCACTTCCTTTCCCATCTTCTCAACAGCTGTGAAATATAGGCACTTACAATATGGCCTTTTGTTCTTTTCTGTCAGTTTGTTACTTTTTCTGATGCTGGGTTGGCTTGTTTTTTCAAATACCTTTTTAGACTCGCCTTATTTCCTTGTGCTTGGACTTTCTGCAGGAACTTCTGCTTTTCTCTCTCATCCAGTCATTTTATGAGCCTCCACTATCGAGTCTCTGCTAATTTTTTAATTTGTATCACAAACCCTGGCCCCTTGTTCCCAGGCCCATATCCTCTGATGTCTCCTGAATTTATTTGGATGTCCTCAAGTGTACTATATCCCAACCTACACCTTCCTAGTGAATTAAATCTCCTTAATGAATCTCATTTTTTACTGTCAGTTACTGATAAAATAAGCCACAACCTTCACCTACCATTAGGTGATCTACTGTTCAATGATTTGTGTGTCCACAGAAAAATGGACAGTGTTAACTTCCTGTGCTTCCAGAGAATTACAGAAACTATCTTTTGCTGTTAGTATCTTGGCCTTATAAATTCCAGTGTCTGTTTTTCTGCCTTTCCTTCCTTCCTTTCGTCTTTCTTTTGAGAAGAAGGCATTTGGGAGTAAGGGTGTTCAAAATCAAGAATTCACTAATTTCAGGTTATTGTGTGTAGGATTATTAAATCTAATACTCATGAGAAATACTGAACAACTTTAGTTGCTAGTGAATGCACTAGTTAGAACCTTACAAATTCTAAAATATATTAGCCAATATGCTGTAGTTCAATTTTTTAGAATTGTATTTACATACCTTGTAATAAGATTATTAGTTTCACCTTCAGTTTATCTGTCATAAATTAGCAATAGACATTTTTCTTGGAGGTCAGAGTAGAATTTCATAAATACAGATTCATGGTTGTTGCCTTTCAGTGTGTTGTACCTTAATGATACATACTTAATGATAAGCAAGCTGCTAATAACAGAATGTCACGTAATTATATATACTACATCTATGGCAAACATTGTGGAGGTGTCAGCAAAAAGGAAATCAAACACATTCTTTCAAATGAACAGTAATTCACAATTTAACCAAGAAATGGGAAAATGGCACCCAAAAAACTGCTCTAGGATTAGTGTCTCAGATTCAAAAGAGTACCCAACAAGAAGTATAATAATCTTCCAAAGAGTAGGGTTTAGAGAGGGAGAATGTGATGGGTCGTGGCCAAGGTGAGTAATATAAAGCATGACAGCTCTACAGATTATTAGTTACAAAGGTAATATCCCATTGTCTTGCCAATGGGTTTCAGCCCCAGGTAAGTTCGCTATGGATTCAGTGTGACCAAAGAAATTGACAGCAAAACGTTCTTTAGGTAAAAGGGTTATACCCAAGTTTATTTCCAGGTGGCAGGTCAGTCACTAGAATCCCATTCACTCAGAGCCAGTCTGCAGGCAGCAAGCCAGTCTCTGCCTCTGGGCCCCTCTGTTCGCACAGCCATCCTCTGGGCCTCTCTGCACAGTGGTCCCACGCAGCCGTCCCCTGGGCCTCTGTCTTTGGTGCTGCCACCACTCCAGTCTGTGCTCTGCTCTTCTGCAGCCCTGCAGCTCTGCCCCCATGTCGCGTGCAGAGCACTGGGCAGATTTCTTTTTATAGAGCCAACAGCCATGTATTGCCCACAGGTGTGCAGTGAGCCAGTCAACCAGGGCCAGGTGAGAATCCTGGCCACAGGAACTCTCATTTTATCCACACCCATGCTAGAATTTTATTAGAAATTTGGAATATAATAAAATCACAGCTGCTTTTTGATAATAGGTACCAAAAATATGTACCATTAAAAAGCAAAACAAAAATCTTTCCATGTAATTTGGGTGAAATACTTCATATACTCCCCCAAAATCTGGATACACAACTGTTGACAAATCACTGTTCCCCACAAAGATCGGGCCAGGCATGACAGCCAGCTGCTCTAAAACTGACTACTTGGTTATAGAACCAGATGCCAAACATCTGTCTTCTATCAACTAGGATCAAAATGAAGCCCTACCCACTAGCTGATTTAACATATAAGGTATAATGTAAGCAAAGATTGCCTGCTTAGCAAAATCACAAAATCACTTCCTTTCCCATCTTCTCAACAGCTGTGAAATATAGGCACTTACAATATGGCCTTTTGTTCTTTTCTGTCAGTTTGTTACTTTTTCTGATGCTGGGTTGGCTTGTTTTTTCAAATACCTTTTTAGACTCGCCTTATTTCCTTGTGCTTGGACTTTCTGCAGGAACTTCTGCTTTTCTCTCTCATCCAGTCATTTTATGAGCCTCCACTATCGAGTCTCTGCTAATTTTTTAATTTGTATCACAAACCCTGGCCCCTTGTTCCCAGGCCCATATCCTCTGATGTCTCCTGAATTTATTTGGATGTCCTCAAGTGTACTATATCCCAACCTACACCTTCCTAGTGAATTAAATCTCCTTAATGAATCTCATTTTTTACTGTCAGTTACTGATAAAATAAGCCACAACCTTCACCTACCATTAGGTGATCTACTGTTCAATGATTTGTGTGTCCACAGAAAAATGGACAGTGTTAACTTCCTGTGCTTCCAGAGAATTACAGAAACTATCTTTTGCTGTTAGTATCTTGGCCTTATAAATTCCAGTGTCT